CCTTCAAAATTGTACATGTACATGTAGATATAAATTACGATTTTATGCATATAAAAAGTTCTTTATTAACAATGATCGATCTAACCTATATTTTTTAGGTAACAAACAAGGTAGCTGTACAACAGGTTAAAAGCAACATGGAAATCGTGGAAATTAGTCAATCTCAACTCATATCTCACAAAGATTCTAAACAGAAGAGTTTTTTTGTTAGAAGGATCTGCTCCCGGAGATAGGTAGCGTTGACCCTCGTGCGGGAATTCCACGCCCATGGTTGATAGTCGAGAGCAATCGCAGCATTTGGTCCATACGCACAGCAAACGATTCAATAACTTCCACAAATTTAAACAAAATTTGAATCAAAACTTAATCGAGCATTCCCATTTAGATATTTATTTTTTCTTTATCTTTAAATCAAATGCCTATTTCTAATTATCATATCTTCTCATCAAGCCACACACTAAAGAATTAAATACCTATTTAAATTTGTTTTCGGGGAAAACGATTTGCGTGCCTTATAAGGTGTCGTTTAAAGTAGCGTTTGATATTTGTCTCGTAATTACAATTAGCACATTTAAAATCTTTAGATTGAATATGTGTTAAAAGGTGTTCTCTAAAGTTGGCTTTACGATTTGTCTCGTAATCACAAACGGCACATTTAAAATCTTTAGATTGAGTATGATTTAAAAGGTGGTGTTTAAAATAATATTTGTTATTTGTCTCGTAACCACAATGAGCACATTTAAGATCTTTAGAATCGGTATGATTTAAAACGTGTTTTTTTAAATAATGTTTGTTATTTGTCTTGTAATCACAATTAGCACATTTAAGGTCTTTAGAATCGATATGTTTTAAAAGGTGTCGTTTAAGATATGTTTCATTCTTTGTTGCATAATGACAATGAGCACATTTAAATTCTTGAGAGTCGGTATGTTTTAAAAGGTGGTGTTTAAAAGAATATTTGTTATTTGTCTCGTAATCACAATCAGCACATTTAAAATCTTTGAAATCGGAATGGTTTAAAAGGTGGCCCTTAAGATTTCTTTTAATGTTTGTTCCAAAATCACAATGAGCACATTTAAAACCTTTAAAATCGGTATGATTTAAAAGATGTTGTTTAAAATAATATTTGTTATTTGTCTCGTAGTCACAATGAGCACATTTAAAATCTTTAGAATCAGTATGACTTAAAAGGTGTTTTTTAAAATAATATTTGTCATTCGTCTCGTAATCACAATTAGCACATTTAAAGTCTTTAGAATCGATGTGTTTTAAAAGGTGTCGTTTAAGATATTGTTCATTATTTGTTGCATAATCACAATGAGCACATTTAAAATCTTGAGAATCGCTATGTTTTAAAAGGTGGTGTTTAAAACAATATTTGTTATTTGTTTCGTAATCACAATTAGTACATTTAAGATCTTTAGAATCGGTATGTTTTAAAAGGTGTCGTTTCAAGTTGGATTTGTCTTTTGTCTCATAATCACAATCAGCACATTTAAAATATTTAGAGTCTGTATGTTTTAAAAGGTGCCGTTTAAAGTAGCTTCTGTCGTTTGTCTTGTAATCACAATCGCCACATTTAAAATATTTAGAATCAGTATGTTTTAAAAGGTGTCCCTTAAGATTTCGTTTACTATTTGTTCCATAATCACAATGAACACATTTAAAATGTTTAGGATCTGTATGTTTTAAAAGGTGTCGTTTGAAGTAGCTTTTGTTATTGGTCTTGTAATCACAAGTAGCACATTTCAACTCTTTATGTTTCAAAAGGTGTCTGCGAAAGAAGGATTTACTGTCGGTCTTGTAATCACAATCAGCACATTGAAGCAGATTACCTTGGTGTTTTAAGAAGTGTCCTTTATTCTTCGTTCCATAATCACAATGAGCACCTTTTGAAACATTACTCTTTAAAACATGTTGCAACTTACTATTTGTTGTTTGTTGATCAAAGTCACATTCATAATCGCTGAATATTTCAGTTTTAATATTCCATCCACAATCAGTTTGTTGTACTTCATTATCAAGCGATTTGGAACACTGTGCAGTAATGGTAATTTCATCCTTTATTGTGATGAATGTTTCGTTGCTTACTAAAATGTTATCTTGAAGATGGGAATAGATTTCTTCTTCTTGCTTCGGTTCGATTTTAACGAATGATTTGTCATTATTTCCGTCCATATCTAGCATCAATAAGGTTATCAAGAAATGTGTTACTTTTACGTTTTTGTTTAACAAAAATAACTTTGGTAAACAATAAAAAATTTATAGCTGTGGCTCTTGCCCTCTAGCTGCAACGGAGACAAAGCACTGGCTGTAGCTCAAGTACTGAATAGTTAAATTAGAGTTCATAACACGACCTTATAAATTGTGGTTCATAACGTCTCACTTCCAGTGACGGCACGATGGGTATTATTTTATACTGTATTCCCCATTTAGATTAGGGCAGTAACGGTGCAATGATCTTAGCCCCCAACTATTTTGGCGAGCTAACGCCAACTTCAAGTTGCACCGAAATATTTGAACATTTTCTGTAGAAGCGGGAAAGCCAAACTAACATGTGTGCCTATTTGAATATTCTTGCGTAAGTTTCCCGCGTCTCTCCTCGGCGGCCTCATCGGGTACATATACGCAAATCGAAATCGTCATTTAGGACACCTACACTGTCCTGAAAAACACCCTCTGTAGCTTATCATCACCTTCCCCAAGCGACGCTATCACTTGATCCCTTAATTTAACACCCCTAATATCCACCCGATAACCGTCCATTTCTAGGAAAACTCTTAACTGTAGCTGCTGAAAATTGCAAACAGATGCTGTATTCCGAGAAATAACTAACATGATATAATAGGATGCTATTGACAATCATGTTCACAGGATTTTGCATCTCAAAGTATGTCTGTCACTTCAAAAATTTCCGGAAAGTTATTGAATGATTAATAATAAAGCATGATCAATATTGTACTGATCTTAACCCACCCCAGGCTCGAAGTGAAGATGACAGATTTCACGGCAAAGTGGCAACGTTGCAATCCCAGTATCAAAACACGGTTCCCGCTCAAAATTCAAACGAAAGAACGGCACGTGATCCGATCGTCTAAGGTAGGGCCCCCTTACGTTATACGAAGCTAATACAATGACTCGGGATCCAATCGGGCAGGAACACTCAAATAAAACGGTGAAATGTCTGCGAGTTTATTTATTATAAACTTATTCTGGAAACCCGGGAATTTGGATGTGGTACATTAAAAGCAAAGCAAGCAAAATCGAAAGGTGCCGCACTCTCGCAAAAGCAGACTACCAAGGAGAGAAAGAGCGCGACTTGAGAAAAAACCTTGGCCTTGAATAAAATCCAAACTATGCTAATCACAAGCAAATTAAAACACCAACCACCTAACCAGAACACGTAACACTGCATTAATTAATGAATGAATTCAAGTAGCAGGGTACGTTTGAACAGTATGTGTAGAGTATTCGTCACAACATGACATGTACTTCCCTTTAATCACGGCTAGAAGGTAGCTCACTTTTTAGTTAGTCATTGGGTGGTGAACCTGGTTATTCGTTAGGTTTGGGCCAGCGTCTTCGCTTGATTGTCCTTCTGTTTCACGGTTATATTGTTAGGGATTGGGCTGGCATATTTGCCTATTAACCCGTAGCGCAGTTAAGATTGTTAGGGGCAACACATTCATGCATTTATTGATATGTCACCTATTAGTTATTCATATCATTATATACCGAATAGAGTGGTGTGAAGTTCGTAAAAACACGTCTGATCTCTTATTCATGTTGTGACGTAACACGGAACTCCTACCTGTGCTTCGTAACACTCCCCTGACATTGTTCACGTAACGACACAAAACTGAAGATGGTTAAGAGATGGGTCGCCGCCCATGGGTAGGACGGCCTTCGGTTAGCAGCACTTCGTCTCTAAATTTGGAGGTTCGAGGGCCCTCGGATGCTTTCGTGCCTTAGCTCTAGAATACATTTCTATTCTAGCGTCCGAGCTCCCTCTCACGGTAGGAAGATATGAGTTACATACAACAAGGCACACACATTCGCGAATGTTACGAGTCACCCTAAACTAAATACACATAGCATTGTATGCCCTACTTCACGGAAGCCGAGGTTCTACATAGGTACACACCCGTGCGCCGTGTAACTGAGTTAAACGTGGTCTAAACCTGAGATATCGTAGACTTCCACAAGCACATGGATATTAGTTAACACCTCGCATGTTGTAAATTACATATTAGCACAATGGTAGATGGAAAATATCTGATTTAACAAATGGCACAATTCATATAAGTACATAAGAGTAAACTACATAAAATACTTTACCCGACACCAAAGTGGTTGAATCTTACAAACACAAAAACAAAGCTAAACTCTATGAATACAACTCAAAATGCAATAATCCCACCACCAACAAGCTTTAACAATCAACAAGTGACGCCAAGCCCCCAAATCCAAAACATCCTCCGGAAAATACAAAAAATATCGACAGGTGGTGATGGCGGTGGCTCATGTCCCCAGAATCTCCAACTACTTGACCGGTTGCATCCGACGTTGAAATATACAGGGTATTTAAAGGGATATAGACATCTCAATATAAATCGCTTCCACAAAACAAGTTTTAAAAGTATGCAGGTAATAAAACAATATAGCTGTACAACAGGTGGTTCATTTTTCGTGCAATAGAAGCAACATGTAATATTACGGGGCCTTGGGAGGCAAACTCAAAGTTTAAACTATGGGACAGGTGGAATTTAGTCGATCGCACAAAGATTCTAAACCGAAGAGTTTTTTGTTAGCCGGGTCTCCCCCCGAGACAGGTATCATTGACCCTCGTGCGGAAATTCCAAGTTTAGGGGTGAGAGTCGAGATCAATCACAGCATTAGGTGTCGTAACTAATTTGGTTACAGTTCATTTACTAACCCTTGTCGCTTCAAGAACATAATTGTAAATGAAAAAATGTATTTAATAAAAACTTCAAATCAGCACGAGTTTCCTAAACTAAGTAAATGTTTATTTATAATTCTAATATCTTATAACAGCTAAAAGTTGCAGAAAATAAAACAATCTTACAAGTTAAAATGTTGGAGCAAGAGATAAAATTGATAACATGTTATATGATTACATGATAACAATATTTAAGTAAACAAGTAATTTGTTCCTTGTAAAAACGGTGTGTGTCTTAAAAGGTGCTGTTTAAGATAGGATTTGTAACGTGTCTCATAATTGCAATAGCCACATTTAAACTCTTTAGAAACTTTATGTTTTAAACAGTGTATGTTAAAGTAGTATTTGTTATTTGTCTCGTAATCACAATTAGCGCATTTAAAATTTTTGGAATCGGTATGATTGAATAGGTGCAGGTTTAAGTAGAGTTTGTTATTTGTCTTGTAATTACAATAACCACACTTAAAATTTTTAGAACCGGTATGTATTAATAGGTGCCGGTTAAAGTAGTATTTGTTATGTGTCTTGTAATTGCAATCAGCACATTGAAAATCTTTAGAATTGATATGGTTTAGAAGATGTTGTTTACAGTTGCCTTTGTATTTTGTCTTGTAATCACAATAAGCACATTTAAAAACTTTAGAATTGGTCTCGGAATTGGTATGATTTAAAAGGTGTAGTTTAAAGTAGTATTTGTTATTTGACTGATAATCACAAGTAGCACATTTTAGCACATTTACATTACTGGAAAGTTTTGGTGCTAAACTGCGTCCTTTAATATATAGTTTATTACCCCACTCCACCCACCGTCTACAGTTAAGTCCATCAGAAATATCATGCTTGAAATGATGTGTAACTTGCAGCGGACGATTCGTTGTGTGTTGATCGATATCACATTTGTAATCGTTCGAAATTTGAGGTTTATCATTCCATTCGCAATCAGTTTGTTGTACTTCTTCATTATCGAGCGATTTGGACCATTCTGCAGTAGTGGTAATCTCGTTCTTTATTGTAACCAATGCTTCATTGCTTACTAGGATATTTCCTTGAAGCTCGGAATCGATTGCTTCTTCAAGTTTGGGTTCGATTTTAATGAGGGGGGCGAAATCATTTCCGTCCATATCTAAGCATCAATAACGTTATGTTTTTGTTTTAGTTTGGCATTAAACAATAAACATTTCTTACCAGCCTCACGGTGAAACGTAGCAAAACCACTGGCTGTAACTCAAGTACCGGCAAGTCAACTTTCAGATTCATAGTATCTCACTTCCAGTAGAGAAATGAAAATTAAACAAGTCCACTTGCATCCGATGTCCAACATATTGTAGTTGAAATGATCTTAGCCTCCTACTATCTTGGCGGGCTAACACCAACTTCAAGTCACACCGGAATATTTGACCATATTCTGTAGTATTGGAATGCCAAACTAACATGGCTGCCTATTTGAATATTCTCGCTTAAGTTTCCTGCGAGAATCTGTCACTCGGGGGCCACTCCGAGTGCACTAAGGTCGTGATAGTCATGTAGGACACCTACGTTGTGTAATAACTGGGTTCTCAGCAGGCACTGAGGGCGTTTTATGGGTAAGGAAAACCAAAAGCAATAGCTGATTAAGATTATATTGAAGCTAATACCAATACCAATACGGCGCCCCTGCAGAGGATCTTAAGTTGTTCTATACTACTCCGGCATTTACCTTAGGAATTAGGAAAACTGCAGGAAAACCTAATTCGGAGTAGTCCTATAATGAACAAAGCCTACAGCTAACATCTAATGTACAGTACTTTTGAGCCCTCTCGAAACCGGGTAAATACTACATACACGCAATGAGTCACCAAAATAGAATCGAGCCATTCCCCAGGTATTACAACACATACATCAGAGAAAACTAAGAGACATTAAATATACCTCGCCGGGCAGTAGGATTACCCAGGCCCAGTGGGGTGCCTGTAGACGTGGGGTAAAGTTGTTGGGTTTCGGAACGAGTGAAAATGTTAGTGTTAGGTTCACCAAGGCCCGTATAAACTTGAATAACTCGATCCCCTCTAAACAAGCATACTTCCCTCGTGATTACTCACAGCCCCAAATAAACAAATATAATGAAATGCAATGAAATAATCGAGAGTGACTAAAAAGCACAATATACAAATATGTACACATGCAAGTATGTACAGCACAGATACAGCCCTACCGACAATGAAACATGATTGCCAATACCAACAAAGATTACACATTAAAGGTACAAGTGATTGAATTCAGTAAGTACATAAGTAAAGGGTTACAATCTGCATTCAAGTTACACACATTTATAGATTAATTGAATAAAGCAAATACCTCACCTGATATAAAAAGCAAAAGCACACAGCAATGACTAAGGTATAACAAAATATTTCAAGAGAAGCCGTACTTTACACTTAACTAAGCCGGTTACAAGAAAAAGACCATGAACACACATGTTAAATCGTATTTATTGACTGCCCCAAGCCACGCTGTAATTTGATCTAGCACCCCTAAAAACCACCGGAAAATCGTCGATTCCCTGCATTTCACGCATTTCTAGAAAAAAACTGGACTGCAGGTGTTTCAAATGGTAAACACATGTGGTGTTCCGAGAAATTCCATCTGTCTCATCTTCGCTCTCTTTCCCTTTTCTGTAATGCCCCCAGATTTCGGTTGGCAGCTTGTGTAACTAACATGATGTATAGGGTGCTTCGTTTCGACAATCATATTCACAGGACGTTGCAAAAGTTGGGGCATTGCTATACAAATTCAAACTGTTAGAGTTTGTACAACCCTTCCTCTAAACATGCCTCCGTTATTCGAGTCGCGCCGAGTGTGGCAACGATGTAGATCACGGGTATTGTATTCTATGGTTCGGCATATTAGGTACATTAGACACAGCATGAGAAGTATTTCCTTACGTTCACCCATTGAACTGTAAACAACGTACTTGGAAGGGAAACCGTTATATGCGACAAATGCGCACCGTTGAAGCCGTGCGACAGACTGAGGTGGTGGTATAACTATTTCAGTCACTCTCATCGCGCACAGTTTGTTTATTCGCACGCCTGATAGAAGCAGAAAATACGACTGTATGAATTTAAGTGAAATAGAAAAATTTATCAATGGATTTGAAAGGTTCCACCCTGTATATACAACTTGCGACGATACATACATTTTTGAGAGTTGGCAGCCATACAATTTCTAGGTGGGAAAAAGCTGCCTGCGCCATCTAAAAAGCACGAACGGGAGTTACGTTATCATCTTGTCTTGAATGGCGGTCGTGAACGCGTCGCTCCATAAATGTTTGTTGTTATTTCGTGTTATTTAATGCAGGTAGTAATTTTTGCATTTCTTTATATCGTATTTGTGTTTTGTATGCCGCATTTTATATGTTTCTGTCTTTGTTTTTGAAATCTACTTGATTTAACCTCAATGCAGAATGACATGTTAAATACCGTTATGCTATTTTTTGTAATTGTTTACGTTTTTGGTGTAATGCTTGCTTAATTTATGTTTGTTGATGTTGATTTTCTTGGTCTTGTCCCTTAAGTAACATTCATGTAAGTTTTGATAATTTTATTTTGATATGTGGAAATTACCGATTCGCTTGAGGTATGTACTAACTTGTTGTTTGTAACTAACAATTTTCTCCGTGAATGAAGCAGTCACGGGGGTGGTAAAAAAAACTGTAGTCAAAATTGAAGTACGACACCTAATTCCGTGATTGTCTTTGACATCCAACTGTAGGCTCGAAACCCCGAAACCAGGGCGGGCTACCCATCTTGCAGGAGCGGGATTACGGTAATCAAAGCTCTTCAGTTTAGAATCTATGTGCGATAAATTAGTGGCGATTCAATAATTTCCACATATCTTGTTTTTAGTTAAATTTGCCTACAAGGCCATGTAATTTTCCATCTTGCTTTTAACAAAAGACTTTATTGCACCAAAGATGAATCACATCCTGTACTCTTAACCCTTTCTCAGAATTTAGGTACCAGCTTATTATGAGAAAGGGTTAAGAGTACAGAATGTGACTCATCTCTGGTGCAATAAGGTCTTTTGTTAAAAGTAAGATGGAAAACTACATGACATTGTAGGCAATTTCAACTATAAGCATAAATATATGGAACTTAGCGAGTCGTAGCTCATTTATCGCACATAGATTCTAAACCGAAGAGTTTTGATTAGCATAATCTCGCCCCCGAAAGATAGGTAACGTCGCCCCTCGTTCGGGGTTTCAAGCCTACAGTTGAATGTCGAAGACAATCACGGAATTAGGTGTCGTAACGCAATTTGATTACAGTTTTCCACTTCCGTGACTGCTTCATTCACGGAGAAAATGTTACAAACGCGAAGTCAGTACATACATCAAACGAATCGGTAATTTCCTCATATTAAAAGAAAATTCAAAACCAGGTTCAAAACTTACTGAATGTTATGAATGTATGAATGTTACTTCAGGGGCAAGACCAAGTAATCAACATCAAGAAACATAAATTAAGCAAGCATTACACCAAAAACGTAAACAATTATAAACAAAAGGATAACGGTATCAAACATGTGATTCTGCATTGCGGTTAAACCAAGTACACTTCAAAAACAAAGATTGAAACACAAAAAATATAAAATGCGGCATACAAAACACTACAGGGTGGAACCTCTCATGCTTGTGGTTGGTTTTTGAGAATTCGTTTCTTGCCTTTTATCTAACGCGAACAAAATGTAAGGTCGCCGCCTTTCAATGTCTTGAAGGGTATCGGAGTTGCATTATCGATGAGCGGCACCTCGAAATGCGCCGGTATAATGATCGTGTTAGTCAACATTTTAATTGAACCAGAAGAATAAACATCTCACAAGTTTTGTATAAGAATTTATTTCCACTGAAATCAACACATGATATGTTTTCTTTAAAATACATTAATTGGTTAAACACAGTCATATTTACATGGTTCTTTTATTATCTTAAAAGATGTTAGTAAAAAATACTACCCCCTAATTCGGTAAAATTCTATATGTAAAAGAAATCGGGGTAACACAGGGTACGCTCCTATAATCCTAAATTGGAAGTTCTACACATATACATTAGTAGAGGGTGTTAAGTTGTTAAGTAATCACGCATTTTCGAAAATTGTCAAAGCATGTATAAAAAAATCGGGTCCCTAAACGAAAATGAAGGCGCTCTCGTCTTGACAGGTCTTGGGCGAACAGTCCTTGCTCGCCTCCTGGGCCCGCAACCACTTGCCGTGGCAGTGGGGTGCCGATAGTGCCGTCCAACGCGTCGTCTTGCCCTCGACGCCGTGACCCTGACAACGCCAGCCCAAGTTCTTACGCAAAGCCTCCGACTCGCATTTCACACACACTCGCTCTCCTGCAAAACGAGCAAGTTCACAAGCAATCTCGACGCCCATTATTACACGTACCTTCCCGTAAACTTTTGAAGCTCGGCTCCTTCCTGCACGCCTTCGACGCCTTTAATACCTCGAATTCCACGCAGTACCTGAAATGAAAACCGCAAATCAGCTTTCCTCCCACGCGTCAAACGGAAATAGATAGAGGCGCGCGAGACAAATTGGAGTTTATGGTCGCTTATTTTGAGTGTATCAATCAAATTTGTTTTACGCGCGCGTAAGCTTAACTTTTAACGGGGAGAGTAATGGGCGCCGTCGCCGACGAGATTTATACGGAATCCGCGAAGGAGGCTTTTAGGAAAAAAAGAAATTCGAGAGGATTTGCATGTCGGCGATCGGATTGTAATCCGATGATGACTTATTAGTGCAACGTCCGCAATGCGGTTTTGGTTTGGTAGGTATCCGCGTAAATATGTCATATTGATTGATTACGTGTTCGGCTTGTTCGAGATAACGACATTGTGCGCACCGTACCGGTTTAAAATCAACGGAAACAGGCACTTTTGCGCTACCTTCCGACGGAAATCTGGAGTGGCGAAAAGAAGACAACGGGTAAACTTAATTGAGTTTGGGTTCGATAAAAGAGGGAAAATAAGCCCTTGAGGTTTCGGGGGTTTCGTTTGTGAACTTCGCCGTTGCTATTAACGGCCAAGTTTTAGGGTATATTACACGACACCTTCGAACCATCGGTTTTGCGGTCCTTTCCTACGAAACTCCCTTCTCGCGTCCCTCCCCTGGTATGCGGTGGGAAATGTCCATTCGGATATTTAGAATATGTCGCATTCCGACGACCATTTTAGCATGCTTTGTTATCACGTCGTCAAAGCGAAAGTTCGCCGAGGCATCGCTTTACAAAGTAAGTGACATGAGATGGTTGTAATAAAAGTGAGTGATCTTTTGTGTCACTAAAAGCAGATTGTCGACATAAAATTTCCTTCTGACTGCATCTTTTACTTTTAGATACGCATAGCATTATAGTTTAAAGATCAAATCGACATTCTCATTATGTTATAAAGAAATTATCACCTCAAAAACGAAAAAAATTTCGTTGACAGAACTCAACCCATGGAATGGGTGACTTGCCCCTCGTGCCGGATATGCAAGCATACGGTTGATATTCGAAATCACTGACAGCTTTAGATGCCGCAAGTATTTTAGTTACAATATTTACGTCTCTCTTTTTGCTCGACGCCAATAAAAAAATTCGTAAAGTAAAATACGTCGATTAACTGAACACATCGATCTATTGTCCTGCAATTAAATTTCAAGAGAAAAATCTAAATATCTACCCAGACTTTTTGTAGAGGAAGACTTCAATGAATCCGCAACGGGAATGATTCCTATCCACTACCTTAGAGTATAATCATTCTGGATTACACCCCGTGAGTGACCTCCCAAATCTACTCCACGATAGCCTGTAATCAAAGCTTTTTCATTTCGTACGTCGTTTAGACGCCCATTCTACCATTTTCCTTGGCGAGAATGACGCCACTTATCCTTTAAGACGTGCATTAAGCGCCGAGTGTTTCAACGCTGAATATATCAAAACCGTCTAATTTATCTGTCAAATTAAAGCCGGAAGTGGCGTGCTGTCGCGAGTAAAAGGCAAGGTTAGGTTTACACAAGCGCGAGATACGATTTTGTGCACGTCATCTACACCTACACGACGAAAACCGCCAAGTGAAAGAACAAAATGTTATTAATCTGTTGCTGATACACTCATTTTAGAACTTAATTGCCGATTTTATAAGTTGTTCGGAGAAATAATAACAATTAAAATGCAATTTGCACCAGTGTACGTCCTGTACACTGGTGCAAATTGCATTTTAATTGTTATTTCCACTGGGAAACACTAAATAAGCTCATGCACTTCCGGAACGATCAAGACCTTAGAGCGGTGATTATGTTCTCAAGATACGAACGAACATGGTGCATTGGAGGACCACTTCAATCTAAAACATTTTTGCGACTGCGTAGAATCAGGAGAATTGTGCCGAAGTCGCTTACGACGCTACACGCCGACAAGTCCGCTGGCATTAGGATCATATCAAACTCCAATAACAAAACGAAACAGGCCCATGTGGTGCAGTTCAGTTAAAGCTGAACTGTGGTGCTAAGGGTCCCTGGTTCGGGCATGGATATTTGTAAATGTATAGTGGGTTGGGTTGGTAGAGCAGCCCTGGCTGAAACCCGGACCACTCAAAAATAAAGGCAAAAATAAAAGTCTGAATCTGAGTTTGAGTCTGAGTCTGGGTCTGAGTCTGAGTTTGAATCTGGGTATGAGTCTGAGTCTGACTTTGGGTCTGTGTCTGAGTCTGGGTCTGATTCTGCGTCTGTGTCTGTGTCTGACTCTGTGAATGACTCTGTGTCTGACGGGGTCTGACTGTCTGAATCAATCTGAGGCTGGGCCTGAATCTGGGTCTGAGTCTGAGTCCGGGTCTGAACCTGGGTCTGAGCCTGGGTCTGAGTCTGGGCATGAGTCAGGGTCTGAGCCTGGGTCTGAATGGGAGTCTGAATCTGGATCTGAATCTGGGTCTGAATCTGAGTCTGAGTCAGAATCTGAAACAATCTGAGTCTGAATATGAGTCTGAATCTGAATCTGAGTCTGAATCTGAGTCTGAATCTGAGTCTGTATCTGAATCTGAGTCTGCATATGAGTCTGAATTTGAATCTGAGTCTGAATCTGAGTCTGAGTCACAATCTGAGCCTGAATCTAAATCTGAGTCTGAATCTGCATATGAGTCTAAATCGGAGTCTGAATCTGAGTCTGAGTATTCGGAAACGATTTGGGCGTTGTGCGCGGGAGCACCATCCTGTTGAAATCGGCCTTTTTTAAATTCTCACTTTAGCTTTCTTTTGAGTTTTTGGATTTGTTTATCTTGACTTTAGTTTTTTGTTTTCTGTGTTTGATTGTTTTGAATTTTCTCAATGTTTTTATGAATTATTGATCTTGAATTCTTTTATTTTTTCAGAATTTTTAAATTTCTAAATTAGTGGAACTTTATTTAGAGTTATGCGTCTGTTTTTTATTTCCGAATCAGTCAAATTTTCTTTTGAGTTTGTGGGTAAGCCTTCTTAGTTTTTCTAGATGTGTTTTTTAACTTTTTTTTGATTATACTTCATTTTTGCAGAACTGTTTATTTCTCTTATACGGATTCAATGTTTTTTTAAATTTTTTAATGTTTTTTTTAATGTTTGTGCATTTTTAATTTTTTGTGTTAAAACACAAAGCTTTTAATTTTTTGAATATTTATGTGAATTAGGGGCAATTATTCAAATTTTTTATAATATTTATTAATATTTTTTTAATTTTGTGATTTCGTAATTTTTTTCGTTTTCCGTATTTTTTTATAATTTTGAAGGTTTTAAAAAAAATTCAAAATTTCTAGTTATCATAATTTTTTTCAATTATTTGGGCAATATTGGTCAATTTTTCGATTATTTCCAAATCTCGAGTTTGATGGCATTTCTCTTAGTGTTTGTTTTTTTAAAAATTTTTTTAAATTTTCTGAATTTTTCTAAAATTCTAAATTTCTTTGGTTTCTAAAATGAGTCATTTTCGAATTTGTATTGTTTCTTTTGTTTTCACTTCACTGGGATTTGAATTTGTACAAATTGTAATGGCCTTGGGTTTTTTTAACTGCAATATTTGAACATTTTTTCGAAATTTCAGAATTTTCTTGAATTTTGGTCCTATTTTGAAGTTTTTGCGAGTTTTTAATTAACAATTAATAATTATTCAATCTCTTTCTTCGAAGTTTTGCTTCTCCGAGTTTGTGTAATATTATTCCACTATTTCTATATCATCCGAGATTATTTATCATTTATTAAATGTGATTAAACATTTTTATATTAACATGAGCACTATTGTTTCTTAATTTTCAAAATTCTTTAAATCTTATTGAATTTTCTGATTTTTTGGAATGCATCCTAATTTTTGCGTATTTAAAATTTTTTTGTTTTGAAGGTAGTTTTTGAAATAAAATCTGAGTTTGAATCTGAGTCTGAATCTGAGTCTGAGTCAGAGCCTGAGTCTGAATCTGAATCCGAGTCTGAATCTGAGTCTAAATGTGAGTGAATCTGAGTCGGAATCTTGGTCTGAATCTGAGTCTGAATGTGAGACTGAATGTGAATCTGAATCTGAGTCTGAATGTGAGTCTGAATCTAAATCTGAGTTTGAATGTGAGTCTGAATCTGAGTCTGGATGGGAGTGAATCTGCGTCTTAATCTGAATATGAGCCTGAATCGGAGTCTGAATCTGAGTCTGAATCTGAGTCTGAATCTGTGCCTGAATCTGAGTTTGAATCTGAGTCTGAATCGAAGTCTGAATCTGGGTCTAAATGTGAGTGAATCTGAGTCGGAATCTTGGTCTGAATCTGAGTCTGAATGTGAGACTGAATGTGAATCTGAATCTGAGTCTGAATGTGAGTCTGAATCTAAATCTGAGTTTGAATGTGAGTCTGAATCTGAGTCTGGATGGGAGTGAATCTGCGTCTTAATCTGAATATGAGCTTGAATCGGAGTCTGAATCTGAGTCTGAATCTGTGCCTGAATCTGAATCTGAATCTGAGTCTGAATCGAAGTCTGAATCTGAGTCTGAATCTGAGTCTGAGTCAGAGCCTGAGTCTGAATCTGAATCCGAGTCTGAATCTGAGTCTAAATGTGAGTGAATCTGAGTCGGAATCTTGGTCTGAATCTGAGTCTGATTGTGAGACTGAATGTGAATCTGAATCTGAGTCTGAATCTGAGTCTGGATGGGAGTGAATCTGAGTCTTAATCTGAATATGAGCCTGAATCGAAGTCTGAATCTGAGTCTGAATCGAAGTCTGAATCTGAGTCTGAATCTGAATCTGAGCCTGAATCTGAGTCAGAGCCTGAGTCAGAGACTGAGTCTGAATCTGAATCCGAGTCTGAATCTGAGTCTGAATCTGGGTCTAAATGTGAGTGAATCTGAGTCGGAATCTTGGTCTGAATCTGAGTCTGAATGTGAGACTGAATGTGAATCTGAATCTGAGTCTGAATGTGAGTCTGAATCTAAATCTGAGTTTGAATGTGAGTCTGAATCTGAGTCTGGATGGGAGTGAATCTG